TATTTATCAATAATCAGAGCAATGATCAGTAATCAGATCATTTATCAGTAATCAGATAATTTATCAATAATCTGATTATTTATCAATAATCAGATTATTTAACAATAATCAGAGCAATGATCAATAATCAGATAATTTATCAATAATCAGATTATTTAACAATAATCACAGCAATAATCAGTAATCAGATCATTTATCAATAATCAGATTATTTATCAATAATCAGAGCAATGATCAATAGTCAGATCATTTATCAGTATTCAGATTATTTATCAATAATCATATTATTTATCCATTATCAGAGCAATGATCAGTAATCAGATCATTTAACAATAATCAGATTATTTATCAGTAATCAGAGCAATGATCAATAGTCAGATCATTTATCAGTAATCAGATCATTTATCAATAATCAGATTATTTATCAATAATCAGAGCAAGGATCAGCAATCAGATCATATATCAATAATCAGAGCAATGATCAGTAATAAGATCATTTATCAATAATCAGATTATTTATCAGTAATCAGTGCTCCCGGTTCCCCCCACCGGCTCCTCTCCGGACTCAGGCCCTCTTTACCCGGCGGGTCAGACGGGGTGAGCCGCTCCCAGCCCCCACTACCCCCCCCCCCCCCCCCCTCCCCCCCGTTAATCTCCCCGCTGGGGCCGTTGGCCGTCGGCCGGCGGGCTGCGGCGGATTGGTTGCCTAGCAGCAGACTAAGTCCCCTGATTGGCCCACCTCCACCCCGCCGGGATGCGGACCAGTCACGGCCTCCGAGATGCCGTAAAACGGATAACCTGCGGCGTCGGGGCGGGCGGGTTATAGGGCCAAATTGGATTTGTTGTGGGGCCTGGAAATAGCTCCGCTGGTCTCCGCCGGGGGAGAAAAAAACTGGATCTGTGAGTCCATCCCGGCGATGCTGCCCGACGGATCTCCCTCCCGGCGGCGGTCCTGAGGGGGCCATGGGGCAGGCGCAGAGCGGCGCGGACGCGGAGGTAACCCTCCAGAACATCCAGGATCTCTACCGAAAGTACGCGGCCGAGTGCCCGAGCGGAAACCTGCACCTGCACGAGTTCAAGAGGATCTTCGGAGTGAGCAGCAGCTCGTCGGAGGAGGAGCTGGCCTACCTGGGGATAGTTTTCCACTCCTTTGACACCAACAAGGTAACGGAGGGTTTTAATTTACAGCAGAAAAAACCTCTACTTACGACGGCCTAAACAACATCCGAAGTGAAATTTGATCAAATATTCCACACCCGAATTAAATTTCCAATATGGAATGACACGTTTTAAATAAAACATGACATGACGTTGAAGTCATAGAAAAAAAATATATCAAATATATAAATTAAATAAAAATAGATAAGCTAAGTTAGGTAGTGAAAGTTAAGAGTAGGCCTAAGTAGAGTAAGTATCTCAGTCTCCACCTCTACCTCCATTCAGTCTCTGTGGTAAAGTGCCAATAAAAATCCTTTTTAATTATTATTTCTTTCTCATTTATTTATTTTAACATCTCTCTTATATAAGTCATTTGTTTTATTGCTATGTGTTATTATCTGCAGTATTTGTTATGAGTTATCGTAGCTTTTTGGAACAAATTATAGGAATTACAGCATATTCTGATGGGAATATTTGAACCAACATACCAATATTTTAACATACAAAGTCGTTCCTGGAACCAGTCAAATTCCTATGTAGAGGTTCTGCTGTATTTTATTTTTTGCTCATGTCTGAGAACGTTTAGATCAGTCTCCGGATTCCACCGGTCAAGGTTGAAGTCCCTAAATCACCTCCCCTTTTCCTCTCCTTTTTTTTTGTTTTCAGGATGGTAAAATAGACTTCATGGAATTTGTGGCGGCCGTGAACTTGATTCTTCGTGGCAAACTCGAGGACAAATTGAAATGGTCTTTTAAGGTTTATGACCGAGATGGAAACGGCTCTCTGACCAGGCAGGAAGTTCGACACATCATCAAAGTGGGTCTCCTTCTCCTTTTTTATATGTTTTTAAACTTGGCAGAACTATGCACACGAGGAAATTTCTTTTGATAGTTTTTGAAGGTTTCCTAAAGTAAACAAAACAAAACACTCGTCATAAGTAAAACTCACATAAATCCCTTTAGAGGATTTATGAGGATGCTTTGTAAGAGGTTAGGTTTCTTTCTTATTCCTATGGAGAAAAATCCCTCTGTGGATAATCCTGCTGACTTTAATAGAATTGTCATCACCACCTGCAGAGACGTCCTCCATGCTCCAGCTTCTGATCTGATTGTGTAACTTAGATAATTGGAAAGTCTAGTTTTAGATATTGTGTTGCAGTTTTATCCAGATCTTAATGTAATAACATTTGAAAGTTATTAATGTGTCCCAGACACGTATGAAAGTTTGTAAAGTAAGAACTCGTAGTAGTTTTTTTAGTCCATCTATACTGTTTAGTACATGTTTTTGTCTTAGGGAGCCTTATTATATGTATCCTAAAACTTTCTTTTTGTTTTTACAAGGACAAAGCCTTGAAGAAAAAACTTTCAATTGTCCAGGAGTTAAATAAAACACAACTTTGTTTGATTGAATATAATATCTAATTAAAAACTAAACTCAATATGAAGTCCTTTTATTGCACAGATTTGGTTGTATCAGGCTGCTTTTGGTAAATAAAGCGTAAAAAAAGCGTAAATAAAGCGTAAAGAGTCTCATCTGCATAGAGCTTGAACCTCCCAATGTGGTGGAAGATTTTACTACATGCAAGTGGACAAAGAGTCGGTGTTAAAAAGATAATGAAAGGAACCCAGAGTGCAGAAAGTATATAACTCTGAGCAGGTTTCTGTGTAACATTTGTCTGGTCCAAATGGGATGAAGATGAGGCACTTGAAAAACACCTAGAAGAAACTACACAAACAAAGGTCCAGTCTTAATCTGAACTCTTTTAGCGACGCAGTCACAAAGAAAAAAATCTCTAAACTCAAAATATCTCAGGTTTTCGTTAAAAAGCAAAAATTTGTCTCCCATCTGTTCAGATTATCAACAAGATAAAGAAGCACGAGGACCCGGACCTCACAGGAGATGTCGACAACATCTGTGAGAGGATTTTCGAGCTGGTCGACAAGAATCACGATGGTAAGTTGCGTCCAGGGCAGGATTCCCCCTAACCATAACCCTAACCCTAACCCTAACTCCTGTGTCCTTTGACTGAGGGACACGCCGTCAGCTGTTTGTTTTCACGTTCCAGATCAGATTTCTTTAGAGGAATTCCTTGAGGGCGCGGAAAAGGACCCGTGGGTGATGGAACAGCTCAAGCTTGACATCGAGCCGGCCGACTGGTTCATAAACCAGATGAAGAAGAACCCCTGAGTGATGTCTGACCTCCCGGACTCCAGACCTCCCCCCCCCCCATCGTCCTCCGCCTTAACACAGATACTGGCCCATTCCTGAGACTGAAGGATGCCCCCAAATGACAAGGCTGAACATCGGCTTCTGCTTTGGGCCCCGAGACCTCCTCCCACCTATCAAAAGCGTAACACCGGAACCCAAATGCACGACTCCAGGCAAGGATATCCAAAAATCACATTGGTTTGATCGGAAAATGGTCTGTACTTGGGAAGCCATGAATAATCAGGCAGAGTGGTCAAAAGATTTCAGGCAAAGGTCAGGATCACAAGGCAAGACAAGACGAGAACAAAGCTTGAACGACTGACAAAAAGACGAGTACGAACTCGCAACGAACAAGAGACAGACTGGAGAATATCTACACAAGACATGGAAGGAAACAATGAGACTCAGGTGGAGGTGATTAGGGAGGAGTCAGGAAATCAGAAGGGCTGAAGCGGAACAGCATCGGAACCAAACAGGAAGGACTACAAAAAAAACAAGAAACGGAACAATGACATGAAAACCCATGACACCACCAGCCGACCCCTCAAATAGGCTTTCAACCAGCTGTTGGACTCCGGTACGTTATCCACTTCCCAGAAGAAACCCGGGAGAAGGCTTCGAAAGGTGGCTGCCCTTTACAGTGGTGACATTTTTAAGAAAGAATCAGAGAATTTGGCTTTGATAACAACATTTAGAGCGATTTCTGCTTTCCTCTTAAAAGTGTTTTCCAGTTAATCTGAGTTGTGTGTAATACCTTTGCTCTTTATGTGCCCATTTATGTGCTCTGGTGAGACAGTGGAGGGAGTTTGTTTGGCACAGGGTGAACACTCTGTCCAAAACGATGTGTCTAAAGGGCTAAAAAGGGCCGTCTGGTCAGAGCAGCCCCCCCTACTCTAGTCTTGTCCAGTGGAGAGGTATCAGAAAGAATCACGGGCCAGGTTTCATGGGGGCTTTGTGGCTGATAGGGCGAAAATCAGCCAAACCAGGGATCAGTGGAGGGCAGCCATCGCTTTTCCTTCTGTTTCTGAACCATTTCTGCCTTTTTTTTTTTTTTTTTTTTTAACTGTTTTTTACAGCAAAGCAACAAAGGTTCAAGAAAGGTTTTAGGTCACTTAAATTCTAAGTTCCCCCAAAAGTTTCCAGATCTCAGTCCAGTTGAGGAGAAAGATCTTTTGGATTAAGCCGAATCTAGCACAATTAAATGCTTTAAACCAATTTTTTTAATGGTAACATGGAAAAAAAGAGGGCTGATTCTCTGATTCTTATCGTCATGAAAAGATACAGATCAGTTTAACCCATAGGAGTTACCAGAAACCAGCCTTCACTAGTCTGGATTTAGTCACTTTTACCTCAGCACGTGTAGCTAAAGGATGGGACAACACTCAGAAAGCTTTCTGAATAGATAGAACAGTGAACTCCACCGGCCTGATTTCAAACATTTCAGAAGCCAAATCTCAAACACTGGCAGCTTGCCTTTTTTTTTTCTTCTTGTGGTTGTGTGTTTTAACTCAGAAATATGTTTATGCATTTAGCAGACGCTTTTACCCAAAGCGACTTACAAAGTAGAATATATACGTGTGTAACTCCCTGTTGGGGAATTGAACCCATGTCTCTCGTGTGGACACTCACCACTTTACTAAGCCCATCCCCCAAAATATCATCATTTCACGCATTAAACAGATCACAAGACACTCTTAGGTTAGCCACCAGTGACTTCCAGACTTCCCCCCTCACAGTCCAAAGGTTTGGACTCTGTTGGGGGATTTCCATCAGGACTTAGTCTGTTTCACACAGACAAACGTCCTCTTTTTAACAGGGTCGGGCATTTTTATTCATGTTCACACATTAAGAGAATCGCTGAAGCTTTAGTCCAGCAGTCGTCGTCGTCTCTGTCGCTGAGCGCCTGCTCAGAGAAACCCACTCAAACCATCAGAGACCCACTTTTTACTGCTCACTCAGGGTGAATGTTCCCATTTGGCTGAGAACCTCCGCCGAAGTTCAAGAGCTCCGTAAACTCTGTGTTCACAGCTGTTGTTCAGGTGAAAATAAACAGGAAGGGAAAATGCTTTTCGGCTGAATTCCTCCTCATTTTGTGTTTACGCATTCAGCAGACACCTTTATCCATAGTAGAACATGTACATGTGTATGTCCCCGTTAGGGATTCAAACCCCCCTAGTCTCTTGTGTGATAGGGACCACTCTACTCTACTCTACTCCAGCTCGGGTTCTTTACACAAGAAGCTCCCTGAGTCAGTGCCAAGATGGGGTTTGCTCTGAGATCTTTGCACAGACCTTATGGGAGCTTTTGCCATATGGATTTAGCCTGCTTCGCTATTCTTAGCCTTTAAGGCTCTTGACCTGACCTCATGATATCCTTTGGCTTCGCGAGGAGCCAAAACGATGACTGTTGCGACGTCCCTCCTCTCTGCCTGGATCAGCGGAAAGCCGGCCGACCTGCATGTTGTCAGTTTGAATCTGGGGAAAAGTGTTGAAGGAGCTCATTAGGGTGCGTGTGGAGTTAATGGACGCCACGCTGTCAGGCAGAGGGCTTAAGAGGCTGATGCCGCGGGGTCAAGCTAAGCCTGAAACGAGGCCTGATGGGCACACAGCTACTGTGTGCAACTGAGCAAGAATAGGGATGAGAAGGAACAAACCTTTGGATTTTAAGGACTTCTCGTGTTTTCTTTGTTTTTTTTTATTTTTGGAATAGTATAGAATTTCTTTATTGAACCCTCAGTAGAGAAATGTACACGTTACAGCAGAAAAAAAGGGGAAAACCATTGTGGAGGCATAAATAAATAAAGGTTATTTACAATGCAGCAAAAATAAATAAAGGTAAATAACAAAGGAGAGTTATTATGATATGATTAATAAATAGACATTTTGAATGAACACCAATTTACCAGTTGACTACTGAGGCTAACATCACAGATCAGCCAGTGCAGGTGTTATAAATCTTAACAATGGATAGTCGGCAGGTTTACTTAAAAAACTAGAACTTTATTGACATTTTACAACTTGAGGCACTTTGGAGCTGGAAATCCAAACAATCATAGTGATGACCAACATGTAATGAATGAGGATTGGACAGGAAAAGAGCTGACTCAGCAGCTCCAATTCAGTTCAAATTCAATTAAAAACTACCCTAATTGTCCCAGAGAGAAATGAATTGCTGCTGACGCTCATTTAGTTCAGCAGTTTTCCCAATTTTTGACAGCTGTGGGCAGCAAAGGCCTCCTGAAGAAGCCTCTGGCTGAAGAGACTCTGCTTTCCAGTCACAGTCCCATAAAGAGGAGGCTCAGGGTTTTCCTGATTTTATGCTGAATCCTGCTTTGCATCATCACCTCCAGATGTTTTGCAGTCGTCCCCAGAACAGAACCAGCCCGTTGGACCAGGTTGTGGAACCTGTCCAGGTCCCTGGCTCAGAGAGACTTAGAGACTTAGAGAAGATCTGCAGCATCTGGACGAAAACAGGATCTGAGCTTCAAGTTTCTGCGGTTTTACCACAAAAACTGCTCGTTATGCAACAGCATGAAGGAGCAGGTAGATGCTGAGTTGGTTCGTTTATCACCTGTAAATAGAGAAAACACTCCAATCCTGATCGTACAGCTACTCTCCCTGTGGCTCTGCTCATCTCCATTAAACTGTTTGGGGTTTTTCCCTGAGCTCCATTTAAAGGATCCTTAGTTAACAGGCCTCTGAGCGGTGTCCTCGACCAGGTCAAACCGTCTCTGAGTGGGACGGATTGCTGCTAATTCCCCTCCTGGGTGTCCATAAAGAGTTTGTAAACGACAAATGAATGAAGAATCTGTAAGTTGTCATCCGGCTTTGACAAATCGCGAACACAAGGCTGAGTCCAGATTATCTCTGTTCCTATTTTACCCAAGAAATAGGCTCTGAGCCGCTACAGGGTTCACATCCATCTACCAGACTCTGTTCAAACAAACCACATAAACTGAGGTGAAAGCTTTATGGCAGAGGAGGCCAGTAGAGGAAAAATGCTTTAGATCAAACTAGGCTGGACGATACGGAGCAAAAATAATATCTCACTATTTTTAAATTGAATGGCCAAATATGATATACATGATATTCACAAAAAAAGTTTCTTATTTACAACATTTTAATTCCACAACAAGAACATGATTGGTGTAAAATGTCTAAAAGCATTTTCCTTTAGATTTCAAACAGGAAAAAGCAGTAAAAGCTGATATTTCTGAGTTCTTTGAACACAACAAAGATTTTCCTTCATCTAAAGATCTAAAAAAGCAGATTTTTCAATAATTTTCTAAAGAATTCCCCACACAGATGTTCTTCCCTCATCTAAATGGATCACACACAGTATCTTCTCCTTTCTCAGGTAACATGGGACAGCATGTCAAAGAAACATTTTCCTTTGGATTTCAAACGTCTGATAGCGTCTGCTATGAGACCAAGACGTCAAAGAAAAAAGAAAAAAGAAGGATCCTGGTACAGAGAGGCAGAAATGCAGCGTCCTCACAGTGAACAGGCTCTCAGGAGGGTATAGAATGTTCTGATGGTGTCGTGATGCAGAATGAAGAAAATTAAAACACAGAGCTAAATGTGATTTAAGTGAGACTTTATTTGTCGTTTGCCTCGCTTTGAGGCTTCGCTTCTCTGTTTTCTTCATCTGTTTTCCTCTGTAATATAACCTGATACTGTTTCATGATGTCCTTCTGGTCCTTGATAAAGCTCTTGATCTGGGAAGGAGAGAGCAGGGTGTTAGTGAGGGCTCTCTGGCTCCGGCTCCAGCTCCAAGGGGGGGGGACCCACCTGCTCCAGCTGCCTCTCCGTGTCGTTGATGTCCACCCCTTCGGGTCCCACCACGCCGCCCGTGGACTCGTACAGATTCAGGGTGGCCATCTTGATCAGGCCCAGCTCCAGGGTCTTCTTTGCGGCCGTCTCTTGGATGTGGCTCCACCTCCTGTCCTGTGGGGGCAGAGGAGGACAAACCGACAACCGTTTGTTGGGGGTCTGTGCTCCAGCGGCGACCTTTGACCCGGCGCGCAGTTCGATACCCAGATCAGAGCCTCGGCGCGGACCCTGTCCAGCTCGGTCTGCAGATGCGCCAGCTGGTTGTTCTTCTGCAGGAAGAGCAGGTTGTGCTGGTCCTCCAGGGTCAGCAGCACCCTCCTCTGCTGGTCCACCTGCTCCTGCACCTGGTTCTCCTTCTGATAGAGCTGGTCCCTGAAGTGGAGCAGGCTCTCAAAGTAACCCGTGAGCGCGTCCACGTCCTCAAACTGCCAGGCACACACACAACCAGACATGCAGACGACCACATTTGAACACCTTATAGCGGCCTCAAGCTTTGCTACGTCAGGGTGGAGGATGGGACGGTGTTAAAGTCCAGATTTAGCCATGCTAATTCGGGTAATAAAATAAATGGAACATTTTTTCAGTTAATGTGTCGATGTTGAGCATTAAAATACGTCTTTAGCGCTTTTTTTCTGCACACATGGATCAGAAATGCCTGACAGAAAGTCTAATTCCACCAGGGATCAGAGAGAGAGGCCCCTCCCATTTTTAGATGTGATGACACATAAAGTGTTTAGTGGTTTTCTGACTCCTTACTCTGGTTAATTTGAGGACTTCTGCCATGAAATCCTTGTACACAGAGTGTTTCTGCACTTCACAGAGCAGCGTCTCCTTCCTCGCGGTCATCTCGGCGTACTCCTCCTTCAGCCTCTCCACCTTGGCCTCCTTCTCTCGCAGCCCCTTCATCTCTCTCTTTACCCTCTTTAGAGAAACCTTGGCTTCTTTATCCTGGACAGAAACAGACAGGGTTGTTTCAGGGTGAGTTAGAAAACTGGAGCTGGCATGTCTCCGACTCTGAGCTGGGGATGTTTTTGACACCTTAAGAAAAGCTTCATGGGAGTACTCCGGTTTATAAATGTCTGCATTTTCCTTTTTCAGGTCCTCGATGCGCCGCTCCAGAATCTCCAAATACTGCAAGAAAGCACACAGCAAGGGTGGCTCAGTGTGTTTGAATCATGGACGGTTTTGTGCAGACTATTTGCACAATATGAGAAATCATTCTCCTTTTCCAAAATCTGCTTTCTCCACCATGAGCCAAAATACCCTGACTGGATTCTTACTCATGTTTTTTTAGTTCTCTGCTGTTAGTTAAGAAACATATAACTGACCATATGAACCCCATATAAAACTTTTTAAAAAAAATCTATATGTCTATAGGGATTTATGTATTTTCTGTGGTTGTAATCGAAAAAAAAAAAATTCTTGGTCGACTAAACCGACTGGCCGACTTCCTCCTGATGAAATTAACCACACACTGTATGAAATCAACAGGAAAATTGGTTGGCTGATCAGAATTTTGTTAGACCTAGAATGTATTTATACTTAGATATATTCAGGTACCATCAAATGGTGATGTTGGACATTTGAATATATTCATTTTAGTTTAAAATGTGTGTTACACCTGTGTGGCTCTTGGTTCTTATGATTAGCTAGTTAAATCATATTCATTCTTAATATCTAAGGACAAATTAATTATCCTGTTCAATTTATTTATTGGATTTGACAGCCTCCGCAAACCTCGCAGAAAGTACCGCGAGAAGTCATGTCCGCGAGATTTCAGGTGAGGAAATCTCCGCACCTCTTTCCGCTCGGCGCACTTCTTTTTTAGCTCCTCTGCCTCACTTTCCCTCAGCTGCAGCTCCGTCCAGCTAGATAAAAAGTCTGTTCCTGCCAAGGAAGGTTTCGTTTTCCTGGTCTTCTTTCTGCGGACACACACACGCGCGCATTAGAAACTGGCCGCAGAGGTTTGTTCAGTCTGGGAATCACAAACTTTCTCCAAACGTGAATAAAAAAATGAACAACACTCACTGATCAGACGAGATCTTTGCCCCGAGCTTCGAAAACATGATTATCTGTCGTTTCGCTGATATCTTTTTGAGAAAATGAACGTCAGGAAGTCAGCTAAGCCCTCTCGTTGTTGTTGTTTTGAACTCGCCCGTGTTGCCTTGTTTCCATGGCAACGCGCTGCATCGCTCTACAAACACAGCCGATTAAAAAGGACCAACTCTAATCAAGGTTTAATCTTCACTTAGCCTGCAAGGGGGGGTCATAATTTGCCCAACAACGATAAATAAAGATGATTTTGAAAATTCAGAAAATATGTATTTTACTGACCGTTTGATGTCATATAAACATTTCCTCGTTCATAGTGAACAAGTCACAAAGATGGATCAAGATTTTTTCTTTTTGTATCTCAGAAACTGGTTGTTCTCCAAACTTTAATGAACCAGCACTTAGTAAGTTATTTGAAATCATGACTTTGGGTTTTTACATTCTCGAGCAATCCCCCAACAAAAGAACAAAGAGCTTCACTGGCACAAAATCTTTATATATTAAAAAGAGAGATATGCATCCTGAAGACCACTTAAATAAAGCAATCAAAGCTAAAGAGAGTGTAAGCTATTTTGGAGAATAAAGGAGCTCAGAAAAATGAAAAAAGTATCACATACAAACAAGTTGTGCTGACCGAACAATTGTAAATCCTAGAGTTAAATTTAAGTTATACAGAGCGATGAATTTGTAAGGAAAAAAGTTAACAAAAAAAGAGAAGATATCACAGCCTGTGAGATATCCAGCAGAGGGTTTCAATTCAAGACATGCAAGAACAAGCAGAGGACGAAAACTAATAGAAGTTATACTTACTAGTATTATCATTATTGTGTTTTATTGTGTTTTTAATTAATAACATCGTCATATAGTTCTTTAATAAAGGTTTGGATGTTTTCATTCAAATAAATGTAATTCAATCAATCAATCAATCAATCAATGTTTATTTATATAGCACTTTACAACAACCGGAGCTGATCAAAGTGCTTTACAGAATAAAACAGATCAAACTATTGAACAATACAAAATAATACACAAAGACAAACACATCAGTGATAGAACCCAGTATACAGAGATTGTTTGTATCTTGGCAGAATGTGACACTTTTTTCATTTTTGTGAGCTCCTTTATTCTCCAAAATAGCTTAAACTCTCATTAGCTTTGAGTGCTTTATTTAATTGTCAGTGAAGCTCTTTGTTTCTTTTGTGGGGGGATTGCTCGAGAATGTAAAAACCCAAATTTATTATTTCGATTAATTTACTAAGTGCTAGTTACACTGGTTCGTTAAAGTTTGGAGAACAACCAGTTTATGAGACATGCAAGAACAAGCAGAGGACGAAAACTAATAGAAGTTATACTTACTAGTATTATCTATTTCTCCCAGAGAGAAACTAAATTAAATCAAACTTAATTAAATTGCATATCATGTACAAAAATCAAAGACTTTTTGGAGTGGCAACAAACGGGACATGCTTTAAAATAATCATTAGTTTATGTACAAGTTTTTATACAAGAGTGGAAATTGCAGGTTTTTCTGTCTGGCTTCAGAATTGAGTGGACAAATGACATGTTATCGAGCTATCCAATAAAAAACTTCAGCTTTTCCAGGTGGCTTCTAAGGTTCCGCCTCAACATTCTGTATATGGAGATAACTTGTTTTAGCAGCCCAAAGATGGGCCACTGCCATCCTGTCGTTTGAATAGAACTGCGCATGTGCAGGCACAGATCGCCCACTGTCATCCTCTCAATAAGCCAGAACTGCGCACGCGCGAGCTCTCCCAGTTGTCTGTTGACAAATGTTGAACATTGCATCTGTCCCGTCCCTGATTTGGTCTCCAAATGGAATAAAATGCAACTTTTTCAGATCAATCGAAGAGGCGATATTTAAGGTGGATTCCTCATGACCTCGTGAAACCGGTAAGCACTTAATTTTGGCTTGTGGGTGCATGACATGACAGAGCTAATTTAATGACTGGACTGGGAGCAATTGGACGCTAGCTGGCAAGTTAGCGTATAGCATCAGCATTTTAAAGTTAGCGAGCTGCATTAGCGTTTGCTTTAACTGGCGTGTTTAAACACCCGACGGCTTTAAATCCCAGGGGCCCTATCCAGGAAGCACTGTGCTCCCTATAAGCAGCCAGTGCTAAGTTGTTGAGTTGGTGTAACGTTGAGAGGCTCAAGTTAGCACTTAAGCTAACACTCACGTTTGCTAACGTTGACCAACTTTTAATGAAGCTACACTGATATTGGCATCGCTTATGTGTCCCTTGTGTTTGTCCAATGCTCAGGGAAAGCCACGTTTAAGGATGGCATGCATGTCTGTGCGTGTTTTCTCCAACTGTCCGCTGTGTCCGTGCTGAACTCCTCCACCTTAGTCGGCTAATGTCCATTTATTATTAAAACACAGGTGGAGTGTGGCTTGGTTTTCTCTCAATGATCCCCCCCCCATTGCTCATCATGATACGAAGAATGACTGGCCTTTCCCTCGCCCTGAGAGCCAGGAGACCTAGAACTGGCTGCAAGGATGTGTAGAAGAACCAGTTTGACCTGATTTTTCTCCCCCTGACGTCACGTGGGCCAGACCATTCAGTAAAGTGATCCCTTTAACCTGGCGTTGTCAAAGCAGGCCTCAGGTTGTGGACACAGTAGTTCTGCCTACTCTAAACCGGCCAGTGTTGTCATATTTAACGTTGTTGCAGCTGGAATTTAGGCTGCAGCCCCTTTTAAGGTGGCACGCTGTGTCTGGGGATGTTTAAATCATAAGCCGAACAATCACATGATTGGCTTGGCATTCCTCCGGCCTGCTCCTGAAAGTCGGTTATCAGACTCTGTGTAACGCTCATAAATATTTCAATGAGAGGGAATGGCGATCCTATCCTCCGTCTGCACAGAGACACAGGCAGTGTGTTCGTGTGCCCCAGAGTGGCCTGTTTTTTAAAATATTTTTCGGCCGTATCCTTGTTTTTAGTCATGTTGCTGGAGCTGAACTATAATGTGGTAAACCGGGTCATTTGCTGCTCTGTTGAGTCTAATGTCTGGTTTATCTCAAACCTTTTTTCATTGTGTTCCAAAAACATAAACATGACATATCCCTGCCCTTTTTATTATACATTTTTATTCAGTCATTTAGTCTCCAAATGGAAAAACACTACTGGTACTGACTTGTGGTTTTTGTAAAGTTCCTTCTGAGGACCAATTGCGTCGAAGCCCTGATTGTGTGAAGGCTTTCCTTCACTTCAGACAGAAGCAGGCATCTCAGGCTCTAGTCCTTGAGGCTCGCTGTCCTGCAGGTTTGAGATGGTTCCTCGTTTCAACACACCTGATTCAGACCAAATAGATCTTTTCAAAAAGATGAGTTACTGACAGTCTGATATATGTTGAAATAATTCGAATCAGGCGTGTTGAAGCTGGAAGACGTCCAAAACCTGCAGGACAACAAAACTTTAGGGGCTGAGTTTTAGCTCTCTGACTTAAGGTGACAAATTGCTGGAAAACGTTTTTTTTGTAAAGTAATTAATTCCAGATAAAAGACACAAGCCGAATCAATAACTGACTTTAGTAGCTGGCAGCTAACTGTGGACAAAGACCATTTAACAGGAAGTTTATGAACTCCAATAAAAATGAAGGAGGTTCGGAGGATCTCGTGGACTGTTTTTGTTGATTGCACCTAAAACATAATGAAGCAAAAATCCCCAAGATGAAATATTCATAGATTTTGAATAATGTATTTCCCATGTTTGCGTTTTAGGTCATAAGATAACCATGTTGAAGTGGTTTTCTGGAGAGGAGGGAGAGCCTGGATCTGGAGTAAGTACTCACGTCACTAATTAATGAGCAGAACTTTAACAATATTCTAAAGCTCACATTAAATCTACCATTATATTATTTATTATATCATTTATATTGTATATTTCACCCAGTGCCTCCAAAGAACCATTGAAAAAAGATATCAGGGAAAAGAAGCAATCGTCTCACAAAATGCTGTGATCTTAATGCATTTTTTCCATCTTTCAACACCCGATTTGTGACGACATTTCCGAGTCGTTTGGCGAGCCTCGGAAACCCTCCGAAAGCTTTGCAGCATGTTCAGACAAACTGGAATTAGCAGGACCGCTGAGCACAGAGCTTTGACGGACAAAGTCAGAGCTCCCACTTCCTGTGAGGGGCAGCCGCTCGTCCCTCTTAAATCCCCCCCGCTGTTGCCCCTTCTCTTTTGCCCCTTTATCTTTGTTTTCACCGGGGCTACAACAAAAGAGCCCATCTCTCAGGCAGAGCTCCCACTTCAGTGTCATAAAACTACATCTCTCCCATCTGCTAGCTGTAGCCCCCCAGACAGGCTGCTCAACACTGTGCTAAAGAACCTCAGTACAGCAGAACCTGTACTTCCGATCGCATAAACATACAAATTTTCCAACATCCGAAGGGAAATTCGATCAAATATTCACCACGAAACCCAAATTAAATTTGCAACATGACGTATGACGTCCGTCATAGAAAGGAAAAAAAACCGATGAAGCTAAATAAGCTAAGTTAGTTTAAAGTTCATGTAGTGAAAGTTAGAGTAAGTTAGGGTACGTTCTGTATCTCAGTCTCCACCTCTACCTCAGTCTCTGAGGTAAAGTGCCAATAAAACCCCTTTTATTGATTGTTTCTTTGAACATACGAAGGAAGTCCTGGAACGAATTATATTCCTTTGTAGAGGTTCTACTGTATGCTTTTATTTCTGTATATTTTGTATAAAATTGCCCTAAACGGGCAGCTTTTTTATAGGAGAGCTGAACACCCCCTGTTTCTCTGGTCAGCACTTAGAAGGTCCTGTTTAACTGTGAAGCTGAGACCTAGTTCGGGGTACTCTGGTAACCCTAACCCCGTTTAGAGGCTGGAACCTTTCCATGTAGACAGCCCGGCTTTCTGCTGCTCATCCTCCTTTTTGCTGACTAAATGGCCCAGGTGCCCAAAGCGACGCATTACTGACCCAAGAGTGGAGGCTGGCTCAACACATCATGTGACAATCCCAACAATCTGTTCTTTACTGTTTGGACGTTTTTTGCACATGAGCACATATTTTATAGTTTCTGCTCTTAAGGTTTCTTATAGTAAGAGCTACTTTTATTTC